ATTTCAAATTTCCAACAAAGTATTAGATATTGGTATGTCACACGTTCTGGAGGGTGGCCATAAATCATAGTCACAGAATGTTCAAGGGACCCTAAAAATCATCCAGCCTACTTGTTCATTTTTCAGTTGGGGAAATTGACTTAATAAAATGCCCAGGGTGTGACCAAATAGTGGCAGAACTGGTCCTAGAACTCAAGTGTTCTGAACCCTGGTCAGAAATGGGGCAGGTATATGCATATGATTTTTATAATTGATCTCTTCAGTTGGTTTCTACTATTAGTAGCACAGCTGAGAGAATGAGAGAGTCCTTGTCTTCTTAAGCTATACTTTTTAGCAGTACTGTATAATGGTTAAGAACCAAGATACTAGAATCACACAGATCTAAGTTCCCGTCCTGGATCTCCCCCTCACTAGCTGTATTACCCTGAGAATATTATCTGACATCTCTCAATTTCAGTTTCTTCACCATATAAAAAGGAAAATAACACAATAATGCACGGAAAATGTTTAGCACAGTGCTTGGCACCTAGTAACTGCTCAATAAACATTAGCTAAGATTTTAGTTAATAATATGTTAGCTAATAATTTCAGTGTTTTATTATTCCTTTAATAGCCATAATTTGGGTAGAACTGAATTATGCCTTCCAGTTATCTTACCAAGTACCAATTTCATTTATTCTTTTATTCACTCATTCACTTACCATCAGCAAAATTCACTCTAGTAGATGCTATAGGAAAAGCAAAGAAGAATCGAACGCAATACCTTCCTTGGAGCAGCAGGAATCTCATAGTGACATACAACATGGACATCAACACCTAAGCAAAAGATCAGGAGAGATAAGTTCACCAAAGGCATCACATGCACCATGCTTGGGCATTTCAAAGGCAGAAAGTGGGCGCAGGATCAAGAGACATGAATGAGGTATTGGACTTGCTCTCAGCGTGTTCCAGTGGGAAGGCAGGACATTTACCCGAGTGTCATTCAAGATAGAAAATGAAGAAGGCTATAAAAAGTACAGTTAATGAACTATGGGGTTTAGCAATGTAACGCCCCTTTTTTATTACAAAATCTTTTATTAAAAAATCATAAGCATGTAATTCTGTAACATAACAATATCACACGCAAGCACCCCATAGAACATTTTAGGTAAGATGTTCAAATTAAACGTGTAAATTATTACACCTGGATTATTACCCTACCAACCACACTCAAGCAGGGATTCCTTCTGCTGGACCCTGTATACAAGGAGAGACCAAATCCCTCAGACCAGGGAAGGCTTCCTGGGTGAGTTGGCTTTGAGGGTGTATAGTTTTAGGAAAGTTAAAGACCTGCAAGAAGGATCTCGTAGACAGCAGAGATGTTATTTATGAGTGAAGAAGGAGAGAGAGAACTTGAGTGTCTTTAAAGAAATCTTGTGCTTTCCAGTTCACTGTACTGCCCATCGGTTTTTATTGTCTCAGTCCAGAAGTTAAGATAGTCTTCTTCCCTGTTACAGACAGTTACATAGAGGTCACGCATACAAGCTCAGAAGGTAGACTTCATTGTTCCAGATTCTGGCTTTGTTGCCAAGGAGATCTGCAACCTTAGTTATGTTACTTAAATCTTTGGGCTTCAATTGCATCATTTGTAAGACAGGAATAGTCTCTACCTGCCTTGTGGGGTAGGATTAAACCCATGTAGGCACCTAGCGTAACACCAGGCATAATGCAGGCACTGAGTAACTATCAGCTGTGTTATTGAGTTACTCACCTGGCGCTTGAAGGAGTTTGAGTTTGCAAGCCCTACTTTGGAACTAGTAAAAGTTTTTGAGAAAGGAAATAACACTGTATTTATCTTTTGAGTCCTAGAGTGTCGCACTAAACCCTACTTGCATTGTAATGACCATTCCAGGGACATCAGATAGCTCTTTTAGATCCACAGCCGCTGCACTTAGGGCTTTCAGTGGAGAACCTCAGTGCAGTTTCTGGAATGAATCACTCCCGCACACACTCCCTCCTTGCCAGTGTGTACAGTGTGAGAAAGAAACCAGTAGCCAGTGGTACACCTTGGTATCTTCCAAGCATCCAGTGATTCTCATAGCAGCAGTTGCCTGGGACAGATCATGTGGGGCCTCACTGATAGAACATGTCATTATGAATTTTAAGAACAATAATCTTGAAAATCCTTGGGATTCCAGAAGCTTCTCTGGTAACTTGTTAGACTTTCATAGCTGACAATTGGAAAGGGTTTAACACAGAATTGTTACCTCCAAAAACAAGAACTGGAAAGCGTGAGTACAGTAGTTTTTAAAATGCTGGAGTGAACAAAACAAACCTTTTGTAAAAGCACTGCCTGCTTAATAAACAATGACTGCTAATTACATAACTGTCAGTGATGTTTTCTGGCTCTATCTAACACCAGCTTCTTGCAGTACAACAAATAAGAAAACGCCTAGAAGTAAATCACAGTTGCTAAGCGCTGTGGGCAAACAAACCCATGCCTTATCTCTTTCAAAGGCAGCCCTGGAAAATGCATGATAAATTGCACACTTCAGTAAACGTGTTATGTCATTGTGAAATGATTTTGATTCATGGTTATGTATTTATCACTGAACAACTGACAATCCTCAAGGTATCAGAAATATCATTCATGGGGTTTTGCTATTTTCTGTTGCAAATTCCCAAGTGCAATAAAGTGTTTTGTTTTCTTTTTTATTTAAAAATCTTTACTGAAAGTGAGATTTGTCACAAAGTCTTTGGAAATAATTCTCTTAATTATGTGAATTCCTGCCAGAAGTGTCAAAGAGCTGTGCTAGCCGCTAATATTTTAAATATAATGAATAATTCATAGTTTTGCTAATATCCTTTTATGAAAATTTTATAGCCAAAAATAGACAAGGTTGTAAGACAATTTGATTTTAAAATAGAATTATAATCTCCTTTCATATGGCTTATCAATATAAAGAAACTTCTGAAGTTTTCTGTACAATAGCAGCAGAATTAAGAGCGAGAACATTATCTTAGGAAGATTTTTACAGAAATGACTTTTATATAAGCATGGTTCCTTTTGCATGGTCCAGATATTTCACTACATTGTGTTTATCTGTGGCTGCGTCTCAGAAGTTTAAAGTATTAAGTATTGGGTTAGCCAAAAAGTCCATTTTTCATTTTCAGAAATTTGCAGATACCGTTTTAGTAATCTTTCCCTTCAGTTGGTACTTTGGGCATCAGCATGTATTGTTTCAAACCTTAAAAACAGCAGAAAGGGTGCTGGACAACAGCGTCTACCCACGTGCTCTCAAACTGTTTCTTGCTTTTCTAAATCCCTTAAACCAACAACCACTGTGTCTTGACCTTTTTTGCTTGTTTGTTTTATTGTTGTTGTAATCCTAAAAGCCATCTAATTTTCATAATCCATTATTTTAACATGACTTTCGATATTGTGAATACTGCCAGTTATTGCATTCAGACTTAAAAACAAAACAGCAAAGAAAACATTGCCTAATGGCAGAAATGATAGATTATTCTTTAGGTATAATAAAAGGGCTTTTGATATTTCTAATATATCACCATCATTTTAACCTGAATTAATTTTATTTTTTCTTCGTATATTTTAACCAATTGACCTTTACATATACTTTGCATTTATTAACTTAGAATAAATTTCAATAGCCTTGAAATATGGCTCAAAAATTCATAGTATCTTTCTTTTAGCCTTGGAATGTGACAAGCCTATTCTCTAAATATTTACATCATTGGAGAAGGTCTATGTACTTATGCTGATTTTGACTTAACATTTTCGAAAATAAGTCTGTTAAATTAAATGTAAGCTTTAAAGTGTAAAACCATAAATCATGTAACTTGACGCAAGTATTGCAACATGGCTGACAGCATTTTCTGGGAAGACTTTTATGCCCTTTACTTCTGGTACCATGGCCACTTTCACCTTTCTATTGAAAACGCCCCCAATGTATCTGTATGGGGATAATTTTAAAACCTGAGATTTATGTTACTATAAAGGAGAAATCCTTTATAACCACGTAAAACCATTGTCTCCCGAAATTTCAGGCTGAGTTGTACATGAAAGAGGACGTATTTTATCTTGAATGCCTCGTTAAACTTTCTAGAAATAATAATATTCTAAATACTCTAGGTGAATGGCTACCTATCTCTCTGTGTGTTCTGAAAAGTTCAAATGTCACCAGTGAAGAACACTAACCATTTGTTTTAATAATTAAAGCTGTGGTATATTTTCTTCTATTTAATTTTGCGTAGATGTTGCTTTGATAGGCCAACCATATCTCACCTGTAGTTTTTTGAGCAAAATAGCCAAAACCATCATATTACACAAAAGAATATCAAAACTGTGGAGACAGTGAAAAGATCAGTGATTTCTAGAGGCAGAGGGCATGGGGTAGGATGCATGGGTGGAGCACAGAGAATCCTGGGGGCAGCAAAACTACTCTGTATGATATTACAATGGTGGATACGTGTCATTATACATTTGTCCAAACCACCAACAGTGAACCGTCATATAAACTGTGGGCTCTGGGTGGCCATGATGTGTCAATGCAGGTTCACCAGTTGCAACAGGGTGTCTCCCTCATGGGAGATATTGAAAATGGGGGAGACCGGGAATGCAGGGCGGCAGTAGGTATATGGAAAATCTCGGCACCTTCCTCTCAGTAGTGCTGTGAACCTAACATTTCTTTTTAAAAAATCTATTAAAGAAAAAAACAAACTAAAAATAGAACAAAACAAAGAATGCTTTTCAAAAAATTGCAAAAATAGGTACCGCTATGTAACTCCACAAGAAAAAATGTCTTTTAAATGTTCATGACCACCTCTACAAAAGATGCATATTACACTAAAATACTTAATTAGACTATTTTAAAAATGTACACGGTGTGTCCCCAGCCACTGGGAAGGTACAGGGTAGCTGCCTGAAGCATAGAGAGGAGAAAAATAAAATAATGGCGTCAGGTCAACGATGCAAGTTGAAAATGAGTTTTCTTTTTCAGGGGGCGCCCAAACCCATAGCCGTGGAACCGTGTGCGGGGAACAGAGCTGCTGTCCTGACTGTGTTCCTTTGTCTGCCGCGAGGCTCCTCGGGCGCCCCTCCCCCGGGGCAGTCAGGTAAGATGAATGAGGAGCCATCAGCAATTAAGCAAACCATGTTGACAGAACAGAAGAAATAAACAGTGCTATAAAACAGCACGGTAAAAATATTTACATGGCTCTAATTTAGAGTATGGTAAAATTTTATTAGGCTACAAACTTTTACCCAAATATCTAGGCATGTGCTTTGCTATAAATTCAGATTTTCTGGCATTTCTTTTAGAAATAATTGTTGACTATGTGTCTGTATATAATATAAACATATATGAGGGTGAACCCCCCCAAAAAAACCTGGAATTATCTTCTGAGAGGCGGGCTCCTTGTAGGCTTCGCCCCTAGGTGGGTGTTATAGGACCCCATCTGTGTCGATGTACCTGCTGGCGTTGTTGTGAGAAGCTACATTCAGCTTCAGTGAATTTTTTTTTTTGAAGACTCTTTCAACATGTTTGATCATTCATGATGTACAATTTATGAGCGCACCTGCCCACACTGCGTTGAGTGTTCAGCCGTTTTTGACCAAAAGCGGTGTGACCCCCATGCCCCACCCTCCCTACTCACCTGATCTCACCCTGAGCAGCTTTTTTTATTTTTTTTCGTTTCCCCTGGATGAAAACAAGTCCTCAACAGGAAATGTTTTGCTGATGTGGAAGAGGTGAAACAAAAAATGGCAGAACCTAAAAGGCATCAAAGTTGACAAGTTGAAAAACTGCTTTGAGCATGAGAAAAAATGTCTCAATAGGTGTATTGCATCAAAAGAGAGTACGTTGAAAGTGACTGTAGTTTAAACATGTAAGAATAAATACACAGCTTTTTATAAATAAATTCCGTTTTCGGGGGCCCCCCTCATATTTGTGCTCACTCCTCTCCCCCGTTTGTTGTCATTGCAATGAGAAATCTCACTAGCAGGGCAAACGATCCCTGACCCTTTTGGACAGTTTCTTTCTCCTGGTATGTGTGGCATATAGGATGCTAAATTCTAAATATGATTAGAAGTTTGCTTTATAATATGGAACCGAATGAGGGAACTTTCTTGCATGTTTGGGATGTTTTAGCAGCCTCAGAGGATGATAGCTTGATGCAACCACATCATTGAGATTAAGGTACAATATGTGCTTGCTGTCAGCACCGATCGGGGGAGTCATAGGCCAGGGAGCCGCCCCTGCAGACAGGCAGAGCGGCCATTTCCTCCAGCGCTCCTTTTCCTACATGAAAAGCATATTTTGAATTGTGGGGTAATTAACCATATGTATCCCCTTAAAGGTCTTCTCATTGCTGTGAAGTTGTCCACATTGCAGACATGCTCAATGCTGAGTATTAACTTGTAATTAAATCAAAACCATGCTTATTTCTCTCTTATCACATACCCTGTTTCGTCTGCTTACAATTTCTCATTTTTCTTTCTCCCAATTGTTTCCTCTAAACATGTCTTAGTGAAATGGGTGCTTTTTGAGGGTGAGGGTAATTTCAAATCTATCTTTCTATTCAGTTCCTCCCTAAGCGTAAAATAAAAAAGCCAGAGATCGGTCAGGTTTTCAATAACAGTAATTGATGATGAACTCGCCTCCCTGCATATTTTATCTTTTCTTGGCTCTCTAGTTTGCTTTGACCTTGATCCTCACTTTCTTGATTTGCATCCAACCAGAGACAAAAAAAAGAAGCTACTTTATACCTGTTATAAGGTGTAAAGTTATAAGGTATACTTGTTATAAGGTATAAAGTAATAACATTTTTCCCATGTGGGGACAGAGGATTTTCATCACCTTTAGACTTGTCATTTAGGGTACCTGCCTTGGCATTTATAATGCAGGAATTTCTACCCAAAGTTCATTTTGTAGGTGTTCATTCAAAGAAATCAACATTCTCTGTCCCCTCTCATACAGTGGGTGAATTCCTCCCTCTCCTTTTACAACCACCAATGTAAATGGGATGCATAAGTAGAACAGCTTGGCACTGGTCAGATAAGATGAATAATTATAGGTACTGTGCCCAGCTAATGGAAGTATTGTTTTAAGGCTGGGATGATTTCCAAAGCAAACACTTCACTAATGAAAACAAGTCTATGTGATATACACCAGCGTTCTTCTAGATCCTTGACAAGATGACGCCCTGATGGGCAGAGTGAAGGCATCTGCCAATACTCCGTCCCTTTAACCTTTGAAATCTTTTTGACTGATTTGCAAGAGCCAAGCAGCGGCGGGGACCGTTAGCTCAGTTGTGTTTTGTTACAAATGTGTTATGATTACTAACGGTAAGGCAGCATTTTCTTGTTTTTCACATTTGATCCCCATGACAAGGCTGTGTTCTAAAACTCACTTTGTAAATAGAGAAATGAGGCATAGAAATCTTCATGTTTCTACGCTCAAGGAATAATTAGGAAATACTAGACTATAGAGCAAGACAACAAAAAATATTTATTGCTAACATCCCAGGAAATTTTTCCTAATGATCTATAGCAGAAAGCCCATTTCTCTATACTCCACAGCCATGTCTACACAAAGCCAAACACTTGGAGGAGTCCTGAAAATGTCTACAGGGTTGGTACAAGCAGGTAAAACCTTTAACTAACATACCGTACCTTTTATAGTGCCTGTAGATTGAACTATGGTAAATATCTATGTGCATAATTCAGAATGAGATTGTTTTTTGTTTAATAAAAACTAATACATTTCATAGCTATCCTTATAGGAGTAGGAACATATATTGATGGATGGCTAGATCGAGAAACATCATAAAGCAAGTAAAATAAATGTTAATGATAGAAGCTAGGTGGTGGGAATACTGGCACCCACTGTAAAATTGTTTCCACTTAGGTATATGTTTGAAATTTTTTATAGTGAGTTGTGGGAAACAATAGAATTTTTAAAAACTCTTAACTTTATTTGGGAGGGGGGAAAGACAGCATCTATAGTGAGACATTTTCTAATGATTGCATCTAGGTTTTCTCTAAACAAAGCAAACTTTGACACCAGTGTACAAACTAACTTATTTTTGCCCCTCTTCATCAAGACGCTGGGTGGGTACTCAGCCAATTACAACTTACTGTCTGTGTGTCTGTGCTTATCACAAGGCCCTACACATAGAAAGTAGTCAGAAATGCCATCGATGATGACAATAGGAGACCTGGGAAATGTGACCTTGGGCACCCACTTCCATCTCTGAGCCTCAGTGGACAACAACGAGCAAATGGACTGGACCGCGGTCATTGTTTCCCACGTTGCCCTCCTAGGAGCTCTATGTTCTGAAGAGCTTCCTCCAGTGCTGGGCAGGGTGAGAGGTTTGGGGGAGCTTCATGGACAGACTGCAGAGTCCGCTCCCACTGTGTAAAGGACGGAGCACCAGGAGCCCTCTCTTGGCTCTTGGGCTATGTGTGTCTCCAAATGTTAGCGTATCTATTCAGTGATTAATTAGCATTAATGATTAGATGAAAGATCCTCTTGCAGTACTTTGCACAACGTCACAAATTTTCATCAGGCTGTCTTTTGAAATGTTGCTTCCTAAATGTCGAGTGATGCTTTTCATAAAGCACTCCTCACTACCCTCTAAGGGAAGGAGGGTATGCGGATGTGAACGGGGAAGCCTGTAGTGCGTGGCCGTGTTCTCTCAGAAGCTGAATTTCACCACTAACAAGCATGTGATTCAGAAACATTCACGTGCTAATTTTCATCATCTCTTTTCAATAGCAGCTGGTGATTTTCTTTTAATTTAAAATATGGCATTGTCTTTGCACTTTATTCTCTTTCCACCAGCAAGTATTTCAGTAATACTTATTAATCATTAGACACGGCCCTTTTGGTGTCTGTCCGAAATTTGTGAAGTCTCTTCCATGGCTCTTATCTTAGTAGAGGTCAAAAGAAGGACTTCAGATTTATCCTTTAGATTACCCCATGCACTAATCATTTTTTGTTGTTTTTTTAATGTAATTAATTTAGGTGTTTGTGTGCAATTCTCCCCCTAGGTGGCTTAGAAGAGTAAAAGCAAAAGATATTAAATAGGCTTTTTGGCATTCCTGGAGCTGGGCTAATTAGGTTCCTGCTCCCCAACCCCATAAACCTGCTGCTTTATTCCTGTATTTTCTGTGGCAACCACTGCCAACTATGCCAGACGCTCTTGGGTTAATGTGGGATTTCTGCCGGTGACATACGTATGCCGTGCAGCCGCTTTCTCTTCTGAACTCAAAGTGGCTGAAAAACTGGCATCCCCATGAAAACAGGGCACATCAAGTAACTCTGCTGCATGCCACCGAACAACCGAGCATGTCCCCGATCACCTTGGACGGCAAGGTCCCCGCCGGTTTTAGAATGACATTAACATGAAATGTGGACAAAGTAAACAGAGCTCTTCAAAAGCATAAATTGAAAATGATAATGTTCCCTGTCATGTTGTGATGAAGAATTACGGTTTCCCTAGTTTATGGGTCTTTACTAATAAGAAGCAGATGAACTGTTTTCAGCGGCCCCAATGCCCACCATCAAGAAGGAGCAATGTGCCTCCACTAGAGGTAGAATTTTGCCATCCTTTGCCTCATGCCTGATTAAACGCCAACATTACCAAACAAAGACTACTAGAAAGTCTAAGGTTTTGACTTTTTATTTCTTTAGGCTGAGAAGTTTTGGCAGGATGACCAGGTTATTTTGAAAAATCCAGAAATCTTGTATAATGTTTCAAATGACAGTCTACCCATGATGCCATGGGTAATGGATGGTGACAAGAGAAATTTGGTTTAATTAAATGAACAGAGGTGAGAGAAAGAGAACTAGAAATTCTAAGCTTTATATACATTCATTATATGTTTATATATATTTTATGCTTCAAATACATGAGCTTTATATACAAATATTATATGCTTTATATACATACATACATATATATAGTATATGTTTTATATACGTTCATTGGTTTAACTCTCAATGGCTCTTCAAAGTAACTATTATTAGCCCAATTTTACAGATTAAAAAAAATAGAACTGAAACTCAAGTGAGATTAAGTGACTTGTCTGGGGCCAACACAGCACGTGAGCG